CGGGCTTCCGGAATTTGAATCACGGGCTGAAGAAAGCCGTGTGACCGGTGATCCAGCACGGATGCTTAACAATGGCTGGGCCGCCGGAAGACTTCACTCTACGATTGCAGGTGGTGAAGAAAATTTCGTCTTGAGCTCAAACAGAGTTCTCAGATAAGCAAAGGAGAGACTCCATTGGAGCAAAAGGGTTATAATAATATTTTTTCTGTTTTTTTTTTTACCACGAATAATATTTCTTATTTTTTAAACCTAATTTACTTCGAAATATGAATTTATATTGTTTTCTAGTTACACCTTGGCTTGATAATGAGAGGGCCAAGAGTGAAGAGCTAGAGAGATAGTAAACGTTCCTCTGTATTACTGTGTTTTTGTTTATTTTTTTTATAAGAAAAATTACATTGTACTGTTTATTTTGTCACAGAAATTTGCAATACAAAATTTCAAATCCAACTATCCAACTTCATTTTATATTTACTCTCTACTTACTCAGCTATGAAACTTATCTACGATTAATACTGGTGTCGAGGAAGAAAGAAATAAGCTAATCCAATCGAGAGAAGTTGATGAATCAAATAAGTCGAACTGAAGTTGAATTTAGCTCGTTTTAGTTTCAGTAATTTAAATCAACTCTTAAACTAAACCGAATTTAAGTAAATCACATTTTTTTTACTTGGATCTCTTTTTCAATTTTTATCCCATGCAGGGAATGAGCTCTAGACATGGTGCCAAATCAAACTGGTTTTTAATGGTGAAAAGCCATTACAATGTGTGTTATTACCTAAATTGGTCTATGAGATATCGGCAATATTATCTTTGTATTCAATGTTGCTCATAGTCATGACATTTCCTATCATAAATAAAGCAGTATTTTTCTTTGTATAACAAAAAATAATATGGAGAGTCGACCCAACAAACAGATAACATGTCACATTTGAAGTCATCTATGATTTTCTTACGTTCGTCAATTGTTTTTTATTCTTTTGTGCCGAAAAAATTGATGCTTTTACGATGAGATAATATAAGGATTTATGCTCTCCACCATCTTTAATCTTTCTATCTTTTCCTTTTTTCTTTTTGAAAAAAAAAAAAAAATCTCTTGATTTCGTCTTCTTTTCTTTTACATTCTTTCAGGTTAACCGACCACATAGACCACTACACC